ATACAAAGTATGAAACATGGTGTTTAAAAAAATAAAGATTATAAACCCTAATTAAAATAAATTTGATTTTCTTTTCATTATGCTAATACAAGCAATTTGATTTTGTTAGGAAGGTCTTCGGGAGACGAGAAAATATTTTCCTACTGAAGAGTTTGCGACGCTCATGTCAAGCCTCCGCACGAGAGTTTACTTAATCGGAAATTAAAAATGGATTCCGTTTTTGTGTCATGCATGATGATCATATGAACATCTATTATTTAAATTTTTTTCACATATGTTATCATGGATTCGTACCAAACCAATATTCGTGTTCATTACTCATTCTACTCCAGGTTTCTTGCTATTTCTTACTTAAGTGGTAACATCTTCCTTCCTTACAATCTGCTTTTTACGCCATTGATAGAAAATGTTTCAAAATGCTAGAAGTCAGATGGGTCTTAAATACACATGTTGATGTTGAGAGTCATTTTGAGTTTGGTAACAAAATATCAAATTAGCATCCAAGGTCAAGCAACCGCAACCAATTTTACCAAAACATAAATTTTCATGAGGGTACTCTCACTCAGCTGGCATTAAATATCGTTCAGGCCAAAAATACCCTAAATCAAATCCCCGTAATAACCGTTTCATGGAATCAAATACTCTTTTCTTGTACCACAAGGTTCCTCTACCGATCAAGATCTTAGCAACGAACAATAAATCTTAACATAACATACCACACAACAATCATCAACCCACAAGAAGCACCTAAAACACCAAACAATCACAGCGAATTGCCATTGGAAAATCATGAATCAGACGCATATAGCGAATACGTTCATGAACTCCAACTAAATAAGCAAACGATTAAGCTTGTGTGAGAAACAAGAACAACTCAACGACCTTGCCTTATTGAAATTTTGTATAAAAAAAAAGTGTTTAGTTCGGTAAACCATTGTCGAAAAGGAAAAGACAATGTCCATTTCAGTCTTGTTCACGTCTCTCTGACATTGAGATTTTTTTCTTCTCTAATGGAGATAACATCAACTTTAACGGGTCTTCCCCACCCGAAATCCATCTCGTATACTCCGAACGGGCTCGACCCGGCTACTGTCCCAAACTGTGAGCTCTGAGCTAAGGAATCGATTAAAATCGCGAATTCTTGTGCGCTTCTCTCTGTCATTCGTGGTGAACTCAAGCTTTTGACCAAATCGCTGAGTATCTCGAGAGAAATCCTCATCTCTCAATAACTTACAAGAGACATCTTCATCCCTTCAGGAGAAATACTCATATC